TAGTTAGTTAGTTAGCTTCAGTGTTTAATGTGCGTTTCAAGGGTATTCCAGACTTGTGGCCTGCGTTACTCTGCATCATCATCATGCCGATGCTTTCGATAGTTTGGTAATTTATTTAGATATCTTCTTATACGTACGGACTGTGCGGATAGCAAGACAGATTCACAGCGAAGCAAGTAGTTTAGGAGTATTTTACGGATCAGTGTGTCATCGAGCAGGTTAGCTAAATAGTAGCGGCTTGACTGTCATTCTGGAGGTACCGGACTCTATTTTGGAATTAACTGGCTTTACTTACGGAAGTTTTTCATGGGGAATTTCTGTTTCGCGACCGGATTTAATTCGTGAGAGGCGCACACAGTTTTATTCAACATGTGTTACGACGTTTCTGTAAAATAGACCATTACATACGCGCATTGACACTTCCGAGAATTAGATATTGTAGTGCCACCTGTTAAGTGTAAACTACACTAGGTTACTCTCGTAAACACAACACGCGGAGACGGATAACGCGAATATTTTGCATTATCTGTTTGGAACACCTGTTCTTTCGAGTGCAGAAATCTGTTGCCTTACTTTGAAGTAGTATATCTCGTCGTTAACGCACTTCTTGAAAGCTTCTTTGTTTAAACGCCTTACCCCTGGCATAAACAAATCTTTTCTTGTATCGGCGCATCTCGGTTGTTTTCGGAACTTTTCGCTGTCGTGTACATTCAATGCAATTGCTCGACCGTTCCGTTGCGCTCTGGATGGCTTTTACTGGTCCGTTACGATGAGCCTTTCTCATAGGGATGATTATAAATGGAACAGATGAAAGTCTGAGGGGAGCGAAAGTTCGCCTACTTTGCAAAAGAAAGGACGTTTCGGTTGAAAAATTTTGGCTTCTGTATCTAAGGCGGTTCAGGGAAATAGGGAAAATTACGCAATTAACGAACTTCTCAATGCCCGGCCGGACTGGAAAAAGTCACGAGAGGAGAATTCGCGAGGTATAATTGTGGATAATATTAAAACAGATCTTAAGAAATATTGTGTTTGGGTGTATCTGGCAAAATTTATGGTCCTGTGGTTGACTGTAACGATGATCCTCCGGGAATTTCTCAACTGGCTTCGTGCTCAAAATGGATTACTCCACTGAGTTTTATCATCATCTAAAATCTAATTAAATTTTTACAGAAACGTTTCGAAAATATTATGACAATCCGATTTCTTCTGTTCAGAAAAAAAAATTAAAAATCGACGTAACTTTTTACTTCGTACAGAATATCTACGCGATGTTGCAAATTTCATCCAAATCCGTTCAGTTATTCTCGAGTTTAATCGACTGGACAGAGGGACGGACATACACGACCATCTCAGACTGCGTTCTCGCTATACACTTCGTGGAAAGAAAGCATTATAATATTATTAAAAGAAATCAGTCCGTACCGCGAAGAAAACACTTCACTTCGCCATTAGAAAGATCAAATCATTAAATCTGTTTACGTAAATGATCGCTGTTTACAATGAGAATCGTACATAACCCATTTTTACAAAATGAGTCTTTACTGAGTGTTACAGCAGCTGGTATACGTAATTACAATTTGGTTTTAAAGGTTTAATAACCTACGTAACTTACCATCGCCGTGGGTCGTAATTTCACGTAAAGGCTGGAGGATATGTCTGGAACTCGTGAGACCACTGTCGACTCCTGGTCGCCTCGGTCGCCATTGCAGACAGAACGCAGTTTCGCCATTGCCCTCGGCTTCTGACCGAGTAAACCGATAACAGTTACCGAAAAACATGCTCTGGTAAGCCCCGTAGTTGTTACTGGGAACGTGGCAGAGTTTTTACTTTAAAACATTTTACAACGCATAATCCATTTGTGTGACGTGCAGATTGTACACATGTAATACCTTAAACGTAATCGTCCTTAACACAAAAGAACGCGCGAAGTACAGTTTTAACATAAATCTTATATTCTTAATCTAACAGCTAACAAGGGCAGAGATTACTCGTGGAATATTTGCAGTATATTACCGAACGAAATAAGGTTACTTAGTAGTAATAATAATAATTCATTTATTAAAGCGTTTGCCAACAGCGAGGAACCAATGACAAGCAAATACTTATGATAATAATAATAATAATAAATATGTAAAATATATAACACCTCACGCTAAATATGTTTAATGCATGTAACACGTGATAAAAAACAAAATATATCTCGGAAATAGCTGCTACACTATGTACCTCAGGGGCAAGGTTTGTCTCGGGTACATAGAAGTAAAGTGAAGGTGGATACAGCGTGTTCCTCCGGAACGTGGGGGGGTCTACTCGCGGGTTTACAAGACGTCAAAACCCAGAACAAGAGTTTCAACTCATATTATCTTACGTTGATGGCAGAATACAAATTACACAGTAGCTTATTATTATTATTTAGTGTTCTGTCTGAGGACAGGTCCATATGAACAGGATCCTTCCATCCTTTTCTCGGACTGGGACCTGTTCATATACGTTCTTGGCAGATGATCCAGAAGTGGTTTGCCATTGCCTTCTTCTGGGTGTGAATGGAGTAATTGTTGGGATGCCAATGAGGAAAACTCCGTGTTGCCTAGGCCACGGCCTTGCCCAACACAAGTTATAAATGCGAACCCGAGACCCCAGGATTACAAGGCCAGCGTTCTAACCGCTAGACCACCTCATCTTATTATTATTTAGTGTTCTGTCTGACGACAGGTACGTATGAACAGGATCCTTCCCTCCTTTTCTCGGCCTGGGACCTGTTCATATACGTTCTTGGCAGCTGATCCAGAAGTGGTTTGCCATTGCCTTCTTCTGTGTGTGAATGGAGTAATTGTTGGGATGCCACGGAGGAAAACTCCGTGTTGCCTAGACCACGGCCTTGCCCAACACAAGTTATAAATTCGGGCACCGAGGGGAAAGAAACCACCTCCCCAAAGAAGTACCAATGAGACATTTTTATAATAAGATGCAAAAGTATTTATATTGGAAACAGACAAGAATCTGATAAATGTGCCTTGTATTTTTCATCGTGTTATCAATTTGTGTGTGTGTTCCTTGTTCCATAATTCATGACGAAGATTTTAAAATAAATTCCATTTTGTCGGCTGTTTTCCTTGTATGCTTGGTTTAATGACAGATTTATCTTACTTTACTCAGGGACTTATTTATTAGCCATGGTCCAGGTATCGCTCTAATGAGGTAGACAAGTTAGGACGTTCAACGTCATCTGGGATAACTCTGGGATGGGCCGACATACCAGACATATTTCAGCTCGCAACCTCTTTGTAGTGAAGAAATCTTAATACTCTCATCTGTAACTGGTTAACTGTAGAATTGTATGCTCTAGCTCGAGAGGCCTTGTTCGTACTCAACGTGGTTGAACTTGTATGAGAAATTACGAAAACATTTGATGTCATCTCGCATTCTTCTGCCTTGACACAAGATTTTGACAGTTCCAGCATTGAAATCCCTGACCGGAGATGTAACATTCCCCAAGTTGGCGATCTGCAGTGGAACACGTCTCGGTCATATCCCGAGGTGTTGGCACAAATCCCGTTGTCTGACCCAACTTTCCTCACCCAGACGTTCGGCCACCTGTTGTGTTAATTACACACTAGCATTCAGCTGCTTTATTAATATCTTAAAAGTGCCCGACCATCCTCATTACTGTAAAAACCTTCAGCAGTTTTACAGCTATGCAGTTCAATATAAATTGTCTGATATTTTAAAACACGAAAGTTCTCCAGTGAACATAGGACTAAAGCATTGCACTCATTTTCGAACTCATAAGGCTAATTTCCCCAATATCTGTTTTAATATTATCCTCCAAAGTTGTTTATCTGACTTAGATTTTTAAAGCTATGCTTGAATGCCATTTGTTCTGTAGAATCTGTCGTTAATCTCCTCATAACTTATTCTCAACCACATTTAGTCTGTTCTGCCCACAGAGGAACAGCGTAATTTTCTCTCTTTTCTAAAGGATCCCGCATTTGAAGGAGGCGACAGATTTGTGACCAGTCGCGATGTCATCATTTCCATAGTTCCAAGTCTCAAATAATAACAACAACAACTCGAAATACCAAGATGTCCCTTTCAGTCAGTGACCAACCTCTGTCTGTTTGCTTATAATTAAAAATATAATTTAATTCTATTTTAGAGCTCAAATTAGATATAACAGTATACATAATTACGTTATCTTTTCATTTATACTGGACATGGCACATCGATTATACAGGCCACAGCTTTTTCCTTTCAAATCCCTACATTCTCAGTATCCATTGCCACTTTCACATCATATTTAATAGCCACTGAACCCTTGGAATTGAAACATATTGTTAAATCTCAAATGTTTTTTTAATGCTTGTTTGTAAATATGATTAATAAGAATGTGTGAGCAATGTTTTCTACTGAACCACGATTTGTGCTAGCAAATGATTCTGTTGCAGTGGAAACGTAGCTGAGTCCAGTGGAGACCCACTGCAACAACATTGATTACTACCTTCCTGATATGGACAACGTAACAAAACAGTTCTCAGATGATGCTACGGCCAGATTACGTGAGTAGCTCTTAGTTTCAAGTCTAGTAACGTGGTTTT